GTTCGCTTTTCTGTTAAATTCTAATCAAAGTTTTTATATAGTTGGCTATAAAAAGCTATTTTCCTGTATGTTAGTAAAGTATTATACGATATGATATATACAAAAAAGAAACAAGAGCTCAATTCGATTGTTTTTTTTATGTTAGTTAACTCAGAACTCCGTTGCTTATGAACCGATTTGGGAAATTATTTTTTATTCAGGAGAGCAAAAGCTAGGCGGAACCCAATCAATCAATTGAAGAAAAAAAACACCCATAAGTTTTGGTAATTCAGTGTTTTAGAATGTAAGTAGGATTACTGAAATATTAGTGTCTTTGTTCCAAAGGCCATCTTTCAGATATCCCGATGGCTTGTTCAATGTCTATAAATAACAAAGTCAATTTGACGATACAAAGGCCACGCGAAATTGTTTTCATGTCGTCGTGTCATCGCGTCAATTAAAAAAAAACGGGGTTAAATTACTCCCGCGTGTTTGTTTATGCCATAGACATCGAGAGTATCGGTAGAATTTTACGCTGATCGTTCGGCTTTTCGCTTTTGGGTGACAAACAAAAACGTTGAGTTCCTTTTTGGAACTGGACGCTGTATTGGAATATAATGTTCTATATTTGGTGGCAGTTCTTTATGAATTGCGACGTCATGACGATGTGTAAGAGTAGGTTTTTGTTTTTGATTGATGGATATTTTAAGTATAAGTTTATAGACGGTTGTTTTAAATCAATTTTTCATTGTTTATCTGCACATCAAAGTTATGAGGTAGAATTGAACCTCGAACAACTGCCGAAAATCTAAAACTTGATCATTTTAGTGTAACCCAAATATCAACCGAATATATGTAGATGAAGGGATTATGTAATCGCAATTTAAGTGGCTAACGATACTAAATTACATGGTTTATAACGACCCCGCCGACACAAAAAAAAAAATGCTATTGGTGTTATGTAACTGTGTAACAGGTAAATATTGGAATGGTCTATTGAAAAGATTCCTAATACTAGGAGTTAGCAACACAATGTCAGCCACACAGCCATTACAAACAATGTCTGGTAATACTGACCTGTCAAAGATGGTTTTGAGGCCGCCTACGACTATAACATGATCCTTGGGGGATTCACTTGTAAACCACATTGCTTATTCCATTCGCACACTCGCGCAGAATCCGAGATAATTCTGATAAAAGCTTGAGTAAAATTATATAATGGTGCTTACGTGTAGATTTGAAGGTATTACAATCATTTGAAACACATGTGTATGCGAAAATCTTTTATTTCCTACTTTAAACCTTTTCCTCGGAGTAAGTTTTTGTATTTGAAAATGATATCTATAACTGTTACGTTTTAAGTTATAACAGTTAAAATTTGTTAATTGTTTTTTTTACCTACTTGGGAGAATAAGGTATACTAATAAGCATAGGCATAAAGTGGTAGGTATATGTATACCTAGATTATTTAATATGTGACCTTATTGAAATGGAAACGTTAAATAAACAAGCTTCAATACATACTGGAGAGAATCAAACTGTTCTATTTTCAAAATAATTTAGTTCAAGTTTACAATGTAATACTCTTCAAACTGCAAGTGGGTCGTTATCGGACAGTAAGCTAAGCCCGTGCTTAGTTACCGGGGCACACACTAAGGGTTGAGGTAATCCAACTAAGGGGATAGTTCCCTGGCTAACTACCCGAGACGGTGCTCGGTACTGCAGCTGGCCAATTGACTGGCATTCGAGAGGGTCATGTTTGTATAAGCAGTATAAAGGCTAAGCAAGACAACTTAAAGTTGGATAAGGCGATCTGCTATCGTCATAGATTTGTTATTATTCTGAGCTAATAGGTATTAAGATTTTTCAAAATTCAAAAACCATGAAACTATAAAAATACAGAGTTCACGTTAAAAAAAAACTGTTTTTTTCCCACTCGTTTTTTATATAATTTTATGGACAGTGGGTTTCACTGGCAATAAGAATGATATTTTCCTTGTTAAGGAGTTATCAAAGTTATTTTGAAAACATTCACTATTTCATATTTTACAATATCAAATCTGAAGTAGTAAATGAGGACAAAGCCTCTATATCTATACTATATAGTGATTTGTATTAGATTAGATTTTTGAAAATTTGAATGTTATTTCCATATATTTATTAATTCCAAAAACAGGTGTTGCTGAGTAAGGGTATCGCCTCTTTACTTAAACAGCTGCACCATTAAGAGTTTTTGTAACAAAATATTCTTTTAAGCCTCTGTTTTTGCAGCTACAGGCGTAGATGACTTATTAATTTACATTTCATTTAGAGATCAAAGGCTTCAGCAGCGCAGCGCCCTCATTTCAACCCTCCGTTATCGATACAGCACTTCACTCAAATTAAATTACTCGACAAATAACTTCCAACGTTAGATTTTTTCTAACTTAATGCAGTTATAATTGAATGTAACGGAAAACCTAAAATTATTTTTGATACTGTTAGTAAGAATTTTCTGTGTGAAACTTAGCAATTAACAATACTAAAATTGCTCTCTATTGTCTACTACAAAAGTTTTAGATTTACTTTTATATAAGTAAGCTTTATGTAAATTTTATATAATGCAAGCAAATCTGCGATTACTATGTATGTGTAACATATCTTAATTGAGATATTTGAACCTATCACGAACATAATATTGAATTAAGAGCAAATGGAACGGGATAATCGATACTCATTACTGGTTAATTAGCCTGCGCTAATGAATGTTATTCACGTCCAATCATCTACATAAACACAATGCAATATTAATGTTGTTAACTAATGTTGCTTATATAAATGTATAATGATTTTAGTACAGATTTGTTGAAAACGTAAGATTTCTTGTAAATCCAACTTATCGCAATTATTACAAAATTATAAAAACATTTTAGACTAATTTCCTAACAAATTATTCATTTTAACTTAAATCTATTGTTAGACTCATATCTAAAAATTCTCAAATTCAAAAATAAGTGTTATAAATCTGGCACATTTAAATATAGATTGCAAAAACGATTGCGGTAAACAAAAGCGGTTGAAATCAAACAATTGTATATATATGTATATGGGCGTACAAAACGAACCCATCCTTGTAGCTTATGGAGGCGAGGGCTAAAAACAGAAGACTAAAGGGAAATGTCAATAATCAGAGGCACGGCAACTGAATAAAAAGGCAACGTTACGTTGACATGAGAACAATGCTCATGAGGTTCGGGATGGAGGTTATAGTGAAGTTTCATGTATGTATGTGTGGACAATTTTAAAATGTATATTCAATGGTAGATAGTAGTTTTAATGGTAGTGTTTAGTAGTAGTAGTTTAGCGTCTTGACCAATAATAATTTAGAGTAGAGAGAGAGAGTGGGATGAGGTAAGTATAATATTTAAATATAAGGGTAGTTTTTGTTGGAGACTATGCTGAAAGGTAGTAAAAGGCTAGTAAGTAGTACTCTTTCAACAAAAAGGTTCTGTGCACACAGACAAGCTGTTGATTGCGGCTTCGCTCGTAATTATTTCTTATGTCGTGTTTCTAGCTTTGAAAATGACGGTCATCCATACAACCGTTAATCGCTTATTTAATTTAGGGTTGATATCCCTTAGGGTTCATATTTCCAAAAATCCTTTTTTAATGGGTGGGTGCTTACAATATAAAAAGTATTAGTTGTCAAAATTTCATTTTACAACTAATACTTTTTATAATTAATAAGTATTGTAAGTTTGTGTATTGTAAGTTTTTATATTGTAAGTTTGTTACCCCAGCGGTTTAGGCTCAGGGCAAGTAATTTTATGTATATAGATAGCTGCTCTGTATATCTGCTAATTTGAATGCACGGTGGCGTAGTGGTTTAAGGGGTCGCTACGCCGCTTACTACTACGTCGATCTGAGTCTAGGTGTTCTTTGTGTCCGTTTCATATATGGATGTAAAGTCCCCCGCAACACAGGATATATTCCTAATGTAATTAAATCAAGAAAAAATGTATCTAATTTTATTTGGAATAGAACAATATATGAAAAAGGATAATTAGAGTAGTATCGGCAGTAATGGCTTGCGAGTAAGTAGTTTCTGGCGTAAACAATTAAAGAAACGAGCGTACCCAGGAAGGGGCAGGGCAGTGCAGGGCTCAGCTTAGCAACTCATGCTGAGATAAATTTAAATTCAACTATGGTGATCTTACTATCCAAAAATTACATATAAGAATGTATCAAATATAACAATGTCTATACGTAACAACGTACAGATATACTTTAACTAGATATGTTTTAAATCCAAACCAAATGAGTTCCTTCTTGATAAAGCGTTCCTATTGAAACGGGAAACCAGTCGAACTTTATAGATACATATGTAATTTTCGGATTACATCAGTCAGTAATTTCAACAGTATTTTATTTATTTCGCTAGAATAGCATTAAAATATCCACAGAGCGAATATCGATAGTTTTCTGAACAACGAAAACCTAACAAAGCGCCATTTTTACAGCAACGAATTGCGATTTCCATTCAAATATAAATGCCAAAAGTCAAATATAATTGTATAAAATATGTCATAAAAACAAACAGTGAAAAGCCAGAGGAAATTCAGAGGCGAGCTCTCATGTATTTATTTATTATAAACCGGAGGTCTGACGGAATGACGACATGTGGTGCCACTGTTAGCGAACACTGAAAGCGTTCAAATACCACATTCGAGTGATATCTGCATAGAACTTCAATAAGATACAGAATATTTGCATGCATTTGAACATACTGTAATCCTAAGCCGCTCATTAAAATGATATTGAGGATCGCAATAATGACTAGCCCTGAAAACAAAAGTCAGGGCGGGAAAATGTTTGGTATAGTATTCCATTAATTAATATATAAGCATATTTGGAATTACATACTGATAAAATTCGTTCGTTCGTTCATTAAAAAAAAGTATCATATAATATTTGAAGAGATGTTTGGAGGTATGGAGTAACATCGTCTGACTTTAAACAAATACATACACGCGTGTACATGGATGCTGTTAAGAAGTTCTAAATTACGGATTGAAGATTACGCCAATCTTACAATGAGACCACGTCTACAATCTGTGACCGGCGCCGCATCGCCGCCGGCGCGGCGGCAGGCAGCGTCGCAACATTTGCATAATAATGCACGTTGCAGCGCCGGCTATTTAATGAAAATCGCTACACTAGCTACTCACAATAAACCAGAGTACCAGATCGCTTAAGTAATTTACTAGCCTTGTTGGAAAAAGCTCCATTATGAGAATTTCTAGCTGTTGCATTTTTTTAAGAAATTAATACCTACAGTAGAAGCAAGCTGTAGTTTATTAAGCTTAACTTAACGAACATGATACCAAACTTTAGATTAGTTACGTAAACTCGCAAGTTCACAGTTAATGAATAATGTTTGAATTCATATATGTCAGAAATATCATTAATATTCCATAGAACTTAACCTTCAAATGTCGCGGTCTAAGAGACCCTGTTCCCAATTTATGAGGTAATTAGCCAGTGTACCCCGCACCTGCTCGCCAGTAATACCAACTGGGTAATTACTACCGCACATTCTTTGTTCCACATTATTAATTATTAAAGGGTATTTCGTATCCAACTGTGTGTAAACAAAAAACAATAAAGTTTAATTACGACATTAATGGGAGGCCTCGATGAGATTATCATTTTTTAGGGATTAACACAAAGCTCGGCCTGATTGATGGGATTCTTCCATTTAATCAAATTTTTAGCTTTAAAGGGAGCTGTTTTGTTACATCGCCTATTATAAATAGATTGTTTATATTTTAAGGCAGTTGTATAGAATGTTTAAAACAAACTACTTTCTGAAAGTGACTGGATAATGAAACCACATAAAAAAAATATTAAAAGAGAGGGGATTGACTGACCGGAATAAATTGAATGATTGCATATTTATCCTGTTCGGAAAGCATAGTCGTTAAACCGTATTTATTTCTCGTGTAACAAACAACACAACACCGGTAATTCCGGATGATTTATAGTTAATTTTCCTAAAAACTTGAAATAAACTTTCAAGTGGTATTAAATTACTTTTTGATTAGTCTTTCATCCTAATGCCATTTGTTTATTGCTGTAAGTAATTAGATTTTATCGCTAAATTAAAGTTTGAGTCTTGATAACTTTGAAACAGTATACGATAGAATTCGGAATGAATAAAGGTCTGATTAGAACCTGTTGCGTCATGTACATAAGATCATAACCAACGTTACAATCAGACGTAACGCTCACTTACTTACGCTCAAATGGGTAGGCACCAAGTTCGTAATTAAAAATGTTCTCTCTGGGCTCAATCGACCCAGCTGATTTCTCAACGGGTTACACTTGATTAATGCCATTTGTTTCTCTGAAATTATGTATTAATAAATGAATTAAACGACCAGAATACATCAAAGAGTTTAAGCCCTCTACTCAAACAATTTTTATTAGAAAAATTCCATTTGCACAGTTTGAATATGAAAAGCGTTCGTGAAAATAGCTTTGACATTCTTCGTTTCCCATTACGAATATCGAATAATATCCTATGTTGGATCTGTACTTCTTGTTGCGTTTGCGATATTTTTTATTTGATTCGGCGAGTATTTCCGTGCCGGAGTGCAGTACGATGTGCTCAGCATACGTTCGGTGATGATTTATGTAGAATTCTTTCAACTGCAGCTTTTGTACTGTTATTTCATTCTCGTATGTTACATAAACAGAAACTATGATGGTATATTAAAATGGAGTTCAGATTAGGGAAAATTTCATAATGATATTGTTTAACTAAACAAAAGAGTATTTGTATAAGCGGTTTGTGTCCATAGTAAGAAATATGGCAATTGTATTCGCGCTTCAATAACTTCTACCTTTTTAGGTATTTATTTAAGGAGAAAGAAATAAGAATACTCTAAGTAACTTTGATTAAATCAATATAGGTATAGTATGTCGTTGATAGTACTCAGTATTGTAATATAATAAATAATTTGTTCACTGTCAGTATACAAGGATATAACTTTGGTCTCGGACAGACATCTGTCGAATGTCCGAGCGTTTCCGGACGCGTTTGATTCACGATGCCTGACCGGAACGTTACTGCCTTCCTTAGGGCTGTATCTATATAATAAGGATGTATGAATCATAGTTTGTTTCTGTTACGATTTTGGAAATAAAAGAAACTGATATTGATTTCGTAAAATCAAGAGTATAAAGGAGCTTCGTAGAAGAGGAACTACCTCTTATGAATGGAGTCTAATCAGAAAGAGGTCTCTCAGATAACAAGTGCAGGCTATACAGCTTTTAACGAGAATAATACTAAATGAGATATAACAATACTCAATTATTTTCTCTTGTAGGTTTGGCAATATGATAAAAAAGAAGATTTTCCTTAAGTGCAAGTCCAATGGACAATCTTATCGTTAATTTTATTGTTTAAAAGATTAAGCGATAAATGTTGTTCTTCTTATTTAAATAGTAAATGATAGCTTTTATTGGTAAAATAAATATCTAACTTGTTATCCAATAACCTACAATGACTTGAAATAAGAGTAGAAATGAGCTGGAGGCTACTTCGACGACTTTTTATCTTTATATTATGTTCTTGTAAAATTTTAACCCTCGGTTCGGGATGGTATTGTCCCCGTAAGATGAGTTTGTTAGTAGTTATGAGGAAATTTGGAATTAGTAATAATGTTAATAATTTTGTAATCAATATCTCAGTTCCACACCGATTAAATTTATTATAAGAAATCTAGAGTAAATAAACGTTAGCCTGGTCCGGTCCAATGTTACCGATGAATGTGATGATGAATTACTTTTCACTTTTACTTAAACTTTAATTCTTTAGAAATATATAAACTGTATTTATCATAATATGTAGCTCCCCATGTAGTATATAATACTTTAAAAAGTTCACACACCGATTGATGTAATATGCTACCTGTACCTACCCAGCCTTTGACTGCATTGATGAAAAAAAGAAAGGCGCGAAAAAAAGATTAAAACCATCTTTGAAGCGTGTTGTACTCGTATATCGCGTCCACATTTGAGCTCAATCGGTGCAGAGCTTTTTGAGTTTTTGATATGTTTACAAAACCAACTTTTTTTTTTTTTTGTATATATGGATGATAATTTTAAAACAGGTTATATTTCTTTCTTTAAAATGTTTAGTTTAAAACGAACTTTACCTGTATACCACAATTTACAGCACACGTACTCTTCGCAAAACATTATTTCCATGCATACGTATTTCTCAATAGACATTGAAAACGATATGGAATGGCAGTTCATTGAGCTGTTGAACTATCTCTTTATAAACTTGACGATAAGCAGTATTGAAATAAACTTTGTTTGAACTTGAGTTTTCAGGTGGCTGAAGATAATCGATCAGAAATCCACCCGGATTAATAGGTCTAACGGCATGTCATGTTGCTCATTATAAGATATTAAGGGAACTTATTTGTTCAAAAGGAACTAACTTAGAGGTATTATTAGAATACTAATGCTCGATGGAAGGTTCGATGCTCGAGAGTGTAGGGCAATCAAGAGCGATCATTATATTTGTCTATAAAATTAAAGTTTTTAAGACTTATTTATTAATAATTACAACAAGATTTTAACATTCATCTTGTTTTTAATTTTAACACACTTACCTACGCCTTTTTAAATAAGAATAACTTTAATGAAAATATATTATGTCAGGTCCAATGAAAATATGGCAGATTATACTTTTTATCAAAGAGTAATATGTAAAAAGCTTGAAAAAAATCTTTATGGGTTGTCCTTGACCGTTATCTCTTCGTCGCAATACATCAACATTTTTGAGACATTTCTAAAAACGTTTAGTCAGTTTTCAGTAGCATGTTAATTAAATTTTTGAAGAAATCTTTACATCGTTTGGAATATCAACAATCAGCTCGGCTTTCAGAGGCGATTTTTTTTTAATTATTATTAAACTACAACCGGTTGTAGAAGTTTGTAGTTGAATTAATTTTTCAGGACTAATAATAATAGCTAATAACGAGGTAATATAATCCATATATATTTATGTTAATTTATATTATAAATGTGAAAGTGAGTTTGTCTGTTTGTTACATTTTAACGCTAAAACCACTAAACCTATTTTAATTTTTTTTCACCAATTGAAAGCTACACTATGAGCGAATAACATAGATCAATATTTGACAGGACAAATTTTTTTTTAGTGATTTTTTAGTTTAGAGAGTTTTCGAACAACAGAATTAGCACCAATACCCAACACATCAGCCAGCACCAAACCATTTGTGGGACACATAATGAATTTGTAGAACTAACTAGCACAGGGTACCATATCTATACAAACACTGGGAAAAAAGCTGTGGTAAGCATCATATCAGAAAAAATACGGAGTGCCCAAAAGTGTCATAGGCAAAACATTATTTCCATGCATTAGTTCGAGCTTTGATGGATGTAGGGTTTAGGGGTTCGGTTCGAATATAGCACGAATCGATGCCGGGGGACTAATGTCCATGTATAATGTATAAAGCCAAAAAGGAACAATTTTGATATTTTGGCAATTTTACATGAAATTTAGTTAACAAAACAAAAAATTATGATACAGACAATGATATTGAGTATTATATCCATAATATAAAAATAATAACCTCACACATGGCCGTCTGGTTTCAGACTAGGCAGATTTGTCATGGGTGGGAATCGAACCTACGACCTCTGGCTTAGCAGTCAGGCTAGTCGATAATTTCTTTCTTTTTATGTATATATATATATATATATTATCTTTTTAGATATAAAACTAAACAAAACAAGTATACACCCGAACCTTTCTTTATACTCAAATTTATGTCATTCGTAAGCCATATTTGTATCATTTATGTAAACTGTCTTCCCCTTTTTCGGTGAATAATGTGTGTGTAATGTCGGTGATCAATCTCTTCTTGTAACTCCGTCCTCTTTTAGTAGAGCAAAAAGAAAGTTACCATTACCACTTCCTCGTTTGAAAGATATATAAAAATAGAATAGTATTGAAACGATAGTATATTTCTTTGAAGTTTCGACTCTTCAGTTTACGAATAGCTAATTTAAAGCCCGAAACAAATATAATTAGTCTTACGAGAATGTAGTATGACATGTTTAACATACCGTTGAATTACCAAGATGTGGTCGTAACGTCAGGAACCAGCTAAGTTAAATTGATATTTATATTTCCTAAAATTAACATTTC